CAAGCTCACTTTGTACCTGATGAAGTGAGCGTTAACCCACAAAAGCTCATACACTGGGGAATTTTATTGGTCTTTAAAGGTGCTATTGGACTCAAATTTTGTTCTGCTACTACAGACAAACACAGTTACCCAGCTGATATAATACCAAAATTGGTAACTGCAAACTGTAATAGATCAAGATGGGTAGCCATGTTAGTCTATCTGTAGCAAAAAAATCTGGACACACACGACCCAATCAGTTATCCCGGGCATCCAGAAGAAACATAGCAGCATATTTTGAGTCTGAATGATTGAGATCAGCGTCCTATCTGAATTTTATATTCTTAAGACTTGTTGTCTAACATTTATGAAACTGAGAGCTTTGGCACCATTATAATATCTCCTGAAGAAGATCCATTTTTTTGAAACGTTGTTAAGTAATTCGGAGACTACATTGATTATGTACCTTGGTTCAAAGATTTTCTTTTGAGTTGTGTATTATGTTGTAGTGCTTTAGATTGAAATACATGAACAGCATTCTTTATAGGTCTTATGACTGTTTGATTGTGGGTCAGACTATCACGACTGTTGGCTTTATACTTGTTTAACAGTCTGTCTGTAGCAGCAGAAAAGAGTAAGAGTCCAGTAGCACCTTAAAGACTAACACAATTTCTGGCAGGATTGGAGCTTTCGTGAGTCACGGCTCACTTCCAAGATGGGTAGCCATGTCAGTCTGTCACTAGCAGTACAAAAGAGCAAGAGTCCAGTAGCATGAATCACTGCTCAGATATCTGAAGAAGTGAGCAACGACGCATGAAATCTCCTCCCCTGCAACATATTTTGTTAGTCTTTAAGGTGCTACTGGACTCTTGCTCTTTTGTACTGCAAACTGTAACGGGAAAACACAAAAAAACTGTAAGGGGAAAAACACAAAAGGCTCTACATCTGACAACAGCACTACAGATAAGATTAGAATTTCAACAGTGAATCCACATGCAAAAGAACCTCCTCAGGAAACAATCCATATGCAAAAGAACCTCCGCAGGAAACAGCCAATCCTTATACCAAAGAACCTCCACAGGAAAGCTCCGCCATTAGCATGTTCACAGCCTGGGGCACTCCTACAAGATAATGACTCAGCCCTACCTTCCTGAATAGATATAAATTACCTGCCTACCATCTTGCTTCTCACCTTGACACAGAGAGTACTCCATCTTTCAGTGTATACCTCTGAAGATGCCAGTCACAGCTACTGGTGAAACAGGTCCTACAATGCCAAGACCACAGCCATACAACCCAGAAAATCTACAACAGCTAATGTAACGGGAAGGGTTTAGAGTTAAAGGCACATTTATCTATTTTTACTCGTTATTTCCACTATGTCCGATGTAGCCCAAGATAGTCCGATCTCATCAGAGCTCAGAAGTTAAGCAGGGTCAGCCCTGGTTAGTATTTGTACCGGAGCCCACCAAGGAAGTCCCGGGCTGCTTCGCAGAGGCAGGCAGCGGCAAACTACATCTGGAAGCCTCTTCCCTTGAAAATCTCACCGAGTCGCCATAAATCGGCTGCGACTCGACAGCACCCAAAGTATATACATTCCACTGTACTATTTTTATTGTGAAACGCAAAGTATAAGAGATGGCCTTTTCTTGAAGCAGTGGAGTTGCAGTTTCCGCTGATGCGAACTGCAAGATATTTCACCATCCCTTCTGTATCGGTATGTTCAATATTGAGGCTCTGCAAATGTGCAAATATATTTAAATCTAACAGTAATTGATTAATTAAACAGCAGATGGTTAACCATCTACTCTACCGTCAGCCCAGCTACGGAGGATTTTCAGTCGACTGAATCAAGCGGAATAATTTATTTGCCTCTATTAGAGAGTACCGAGGAATCCCAAATGGAAACCTGTAGCGCTTGGGTTTTTTCCCCATAAATGAAAAACAACACTCTGAAAGAGCAATCGCTCCCAAGTGGTTCACACACCAGACATTAATATTTTAACAAAAGGGGAAGGAGAAAAATCCTGCATTCCTGGGGGAAATACTAGCAATTAGGGTTGCTAGCCTCCAGGTGGGGCCTGGAGATCTCCCACTTTTACAACTGATCTCCAGATGACAGAGATCAGCTTCCCCTGGGGAAAATACCCACTTTGGAGGGTGGGCTCTATGGCATTGTGCCCTGCTGAAGCAGAAGAGCAAGATTCAAACCCAGTTGCATCTTAAAGGCCAATGAGATTTCCAGCGTATAAACCAGAGGTCCGCAACGTGGTGCCCATAAGAACATAACAGAAGCCAATGTTGGATCAGGCCAATGGCCCATCCAGTCCAACACTCTGTGGCACACAGTGGCCAAAAATACCAGGTGCCATCAGGAGGTCCACCAGTGGGGCCAGGACACTAGAAGCCCTCCCACTGTTGCCCCCCCCCCAGCAACAAGAAGACAACGCATCCCTTGCCCCAGAATGAGAGTCCCTGTCGATGCCTTGTGGCTAACAGCCACCAATGGACCTCTGCTCCGTATGCTTATCCAATTCCCTCTTGAAGCTATCCATGCTTGTAGCCACCGCCACCTCCTGTGTGGAGGGGGAGGGAAAGGAGATTGTAAGCCGCTCTGAGACTCCCTTGGGTAGTGAAGGGCAGTGGGGTATAAATCCAATCTCTTCTTCACAAAACAAAAAACACGTCAAAGCTTAAACCAGGAGTCTTCATGACCAGGATTCTCACAGCCTGGCTCTCGGTTCAGTAGGTGACTTGGCAACGCCAACTTCCCGCAGGAACAGAAGGCAACATGGGTGTGCACCGCTGGCCCCTGCAACCCAGAAGGCGCATGAATCTCTTGGGTTAGTGGAGCCTGGCCTTCTGGCCTTGCCAACTCCACCGAACAGAACCTTCTCTCCCTGAGGCCTCAGAGCCTCCCGTTTCCAAATCGAGCACCACACCCAGCAACTGGAGACTCTGGGCTGGAGGACATGCTGACTTGGAACTTATTTTGCATAACTTTCTCCCCCCCACACACACACACACACCCATGCAGCATCATATGCACCATAATGGCTTTATTTCACTGTACTCTGAATTGCATAATCCAGTTTTATTGCATGCATTATACCGGTGTTTTATTACAGTATTTTTTATAACTCCAAAGTCCACCTTGAGTATCGACAAGAACGGCAGGTAATTAATGAACAAACTTTCCGCTTCTGGTTTCAGGGGGGTATAGCCAGTCTGTAGCAGCAGGACACAATTTGAGCCCGGTAGCCCCTTAAAGACCAACAAAATCCTCAGGGTATAAGGTTTTATGGCCCTGACCTGGCTAGCCAGATCTGGTCAGATCCTGGAAGCTAAGCAGGGTCGGCCCTTGTTAGTATTTGGATGGGAGACCCCTAAGAACGTCAACGATTGCTATGCAGAAGCAGGCAATGGCAAAGCACCTCTGAACATCTCTTGTTTCAAAAACCTGGATGTCCAAGGGTTAGCCAGGGCTCTTTTTGTAGAAAAAGCCCAGCAGGAACTCTAATTAGCATAACAGGCCACACCCAACAGCAGGAACTCATTAGCATATTGGGCCACACCCCCGACAGCACAGCTCATTAGCACATTAGGCTGCACCCCCATGTTACCAGAAGTGTGGTCATCCAGCCACACCCACCTTTCCCTTCTTATTCTGTTTACCTTGTTTGTTGTCAAAACCTAGGGCCTTTTTTTGTAGCAGGGACTCCTTTGCATGTTAGGCCACACACCCCTAATGTAGCCAATCCCGATGAGTCTCTGCTGTTGGGTGTGGCCTATTATGCTAATGAGTTCCTGCTGGGCGTGGCCAACTTGGGAGCCAGCCGGGACTCCGTTCCTGTGTGTTCCTGCCCCAAAATAGCCCTGGTTAGCCCGATCTCATCAGATCTCAGAAGCTAAGCCGGGTCAGCCTTGATTAGTACTTAGAAGAGAGGCCACCAAGGGAGTCCAGGGCTGCTACGCAGAGGCAGGCAATGGCTCTTGCCTTATAAACCTGATGGGATCGTCATAAAACAGCTGCACCTCAAAGGCAAAAATAATAGTAATAATGTTTTGTGAGTCAAAGCTCACTTAGGCCCCGGCCACACGGGCTGGAAAATGGGGGGTGGGGTGGGGTGGCTGTTTGCCCCGGGGCAAACTAACGCGCGACTGCGCAATCAGATGTCCGGTTGGCTAGGGGGGAGGTGCTGATCACACCAAAGGCAAAGAAGCGGGGCGGGGCAGCAAACGGGGTTGTGTTGTTTTTTGGTTTTTTATTTTTTTAAACTGAAGTGTGTGCATGCTCCGTTGGGTGCTTGTGCGCATCCGTGGAGCCTTGGGGGGGAAAAATGACCTGTTTGCAAGGGGACATGGGCGGGCGCCAGATGCCACCGGAAACACAATCAGACGCCCGCCCTTCCCCTGCGGTTTCCGGAAACTAGTACCTCGGAGGTACTAGGTTTTTGCCCCGGATCTTCGGCAGGAAGCCTCGGGTGAGCCACGGGAGCTCTACGCTTCCAGATGTGGCGGTGAGATCGCGCCCGGAAAATACGCCTATCTTCTGTCTCTGTGGCGTGGCTAATGCACCGTGTGACTGCAGCCTCTGTTGATCTTCTGTTGGAATTTTGTTGGTCTTTCAGGTGCGACCAGATTCAGGCCGCGGTCACACATGTTAAACAATCCACTTTCAATGCACTTTCCATCTGGATTTTACTGTGTGAACTGGCAAAACCCAGTTGGAAAGTGGACTGAAAGTTGACACCGCAGCCTGAGTCTTCTTCCAGTTCTAGATTTGTGTGGAACCACTCACAGCCCTAACACACGCCATCACTCACTCCCACCGCCTGTCACACAGCTGCGGCGGCACTGAATGCAAAAAAAACCCCATGACCTTACTTGCAAATGATTCCTTTCTAGAAAGAGGGAAGGATCACAGCAGAAATGATGTCAAACCTCTGCATCGTTCTGAATCATAAGCGGGGGCGCACGCAGGGGCGGGGGGGGAGAGAGAAACCGACCCATGATGTAACCTACCTTTTCCTTAATGTAGACTCGCCAACTTTAACCACCCGGATGACTTCTTTCACAGTGCGCCGGAAATCGTGCATCCTTGCCGCAACCAGCAGAGCTAGAGCACAAACGGGGAAAGGTCTACATCAAAAGGCAGTTCAATCGGAGGAGGCCAGGAAAATATAGTGAGTCACAAATCCCGCCGGGATTTCTGATCCTCGTATTAAGCGTAAAATATTTATAATTAGCTCTAGGCTTGAATGCAAAATGATTAAACCGAACTTTTGGTTCAAAAGTTTCTTTGTAGTCAAATTAAACCATCCGGAAAAAGATCATTCCGCAAACCAACGTTTGTTATCTTTATACGCCGGTGTCCGGAGTATGGTCTCCAAAGTGGCTCATGTCAATAGAGAGATAGGCTGTTGGGGGTGGGATCCCCAAGAGAACTGCTCGTTGAGAGCCAGGACAGTGGCGTGGTTAAAGTGTCCACCTGTTGTTGTTGTTGTTCAGTCGCACAGTTGAGTCCAACTCTTCGCGACCCCATGGACCACATCACGCCAAGCCCTCCTGTCTCCCGTCATCCTCCGGAGTTTGCTCAATTTCATGTTCGTTGCATCCATAACACTGTCTAACCATCTCATCCTTTGCCATCCCCTTCTTCTTTTACCTTCCGTCTAATGAAATTAGTTCTGATAAGAGCTGTCCTTGAAAAAGAGCCGTTTCTGTCAGAGCTCTCTCAGCCCCACCTACCTCCCAGGCTGTCTGTTGTGGGGAAGGGAAGGGGAAGGAGTTAGTAAGCCGCTCTGAGACTCCTTTGGGTAGTGAAGGGCGGGGTATAAATCCAATCTCCTCTTCTTCTTCTTCATTTGGTGGCCAAAGTGTCCACCTAGGACCTGGGAAATTCAGGTTCAAATCCCCAGTCTGCCACGGAAGCTCTCTGGTTGACTTCTTTGGGGCTCTGCTTCTCTGGATGTTTTAGGCAGAGCCTAGGTGGCCATCTGACAGCAATGCTCATTCTGTGGATTTAGGCAGATAGTCAGAGGGAGGGCAGGATGAGCCAGTGCCCGGCTCTCGTGGCCCTTTCTTACATGCCCAGGGTAATGCCAATTGCCACTCTGGAGTCAGGAAGAAGGAGGAGGAGGAGGAGAAGGAGGAGATTGGATTTATACCCCGCCCTTCACTACCCAAAGGAGTCTCAGACCAGCTCACAAACTCCCTTCCCTTCCCCACAACAGACACCCTGTGAGGTAGGTGGGGCTGAGAGAGCTCTTTCAGGGACTTTTCTTCAGAGAACAACTCTAAGAGAACTTGTGACTGACCCAAGGTCACACCAGCAGCTGCATGTGAAGGAGTGGGGAATCAAAACCGGTTCTCCCAGATTAGAGTCTGCGCTCTTACCCACTACACCAAATTGGCTCTCAGGGAATTCTTCTCCAGGCCTGATTGGTCCAGGGATCCTGGAGGGATTTTTTTCAGAAAGTGGGCAGAGCCAGGTGGGGCTTTTGCCCAGCAGAGCTTCTGATTGGCCACTGGAAATCTGTTGTTGAAGAGTTACTGTTAGAATTATGCATAACCTCACTGACTGACATTGTGTGGTTGGCTCTGTCTCCTGTGGCAGCCATTTTGTAGTTGGCTCTGCATCTTGTGGCCAATGTTCCCTCTAAGCTGTGGAGTCTTGTGAGCAAAAATTCTACTTTCTGAGCTACTGGCATTAAAGTTGTGAATGAGCGATGTGGCTGCTGCATACATTAGTTTGCTCTGGAGCCATCCTTCCTGAGCTAAGACAAAAAAGTGTGAGCCGGAGACTAAAAAACTGTGAGCCGGCTCACACTAACTCAGTTTAGAGGGAACACTGCTTGTGGCAGACATTTTGTAATTGGTTCTGTCTCCTGTAGCAGCCAGACTGTGGTTGGTTCTGCATCTTTTGGCAGCCATTTTGTAATTAGTTCCACTTCCTGTGGCAACCATTTTGTAGTTAGTTCCACCTCCTGTAGCAGCCATTTTGTGGTTGTGCCCACAAGAATTCTAAAGGCACCCACAAGCTCAAAAAGGTCGGGGACCCTGACCTAGCAAATGGCAAATGAAATCTGGTGCTGAAGGTAAGTGGCTACAGAGATGTAGGGCTGTAAATAAGGAGGTACATAAGAACATAAGAGACGCCAATGTTGGATCAGGCCAAAGGCCCATCCAGTCCAACACTCTGTGTCACACAGTGGCCAGAAATACCAGGTGCCAACAGGGGGTCCAGCAGTGGGGTCAGGACACTAGAAGCCCTCCCACTGTTGACCCCCCCAAGCACCAAGGTAGGCTTTGCTGTCACCAAAGCAGAAAAAAGGGTTCAGCTCCCATCAAATGATGTCCCCAAATTTACTCTTTGCATATAGCTGTCCCATCTGTTTGGCCTTGTTTCCTCATTTACATAGCCTATAATCTCCTCCTGCCTCAGCAAAAAGTGGTTCGGTCAAGATCAGGCCAAGGTTTAAAGATCCTCCTTTATGTGGCATATCTGAGAGGTCATATGCATATTTTAATTTGATATGTCTAATTCAGGACCCACTGGGACCAGCAAGGATCGTGTTCCCCACAGTTCACCATGCGCAGCTCCGGGGTTTTTTCTCTACGCATTTCTGAGTTACATGCATTTAGATCAGAGACTTTAAAAATCAGGCCAAGGTTTAAAGATCCTCCTTTAAAAAAATGTGGCATATCTGAGAGGTAATATGCATGTTTTAATTTGATATGTCTAATTCAGGACCCACTGGGACCAGCAAGGATCGTGTTCCCCACAGTTCACCATGCGCAGCTCCTGGGTTTTTTCTCTACGCAATTCTGAGTTACATGCATTCAGATCAGAGACTTTAAAACAAGAATGTCCTGCTAGGACGATTAAATTGTCCCAACTTTTTTTTTTAATCTTCTCCCAAGACAAAAAGAGAAAAATGTGCTTTAACTCCAGGGCTTCTATTTAATATCCTGCTCCCAGCTGGATAACGTGTTTTTATGTAAAAAAACAACAACGATTAAGACAATCCCACAGAAAATGAGACTATTGATGGCCATGAACCACAGCAGCTAAACAGAAATTCCATGTTCGGAGGCACTCTGAATACATCGTACTGTGGGTTACCAGTATTGTAAAGATTATTATTTAATCCATTTATAGCTAGGATTGGCAGGGGAGGATTGGCTACATTAGGGGTGTGTAGCCTAATATGCAAAGGAGTTCCTGCAACAAAAAGAGCCCACCCTCCAAAGTAGCCATTGTCTCCAGGGGGGCTGATCTCTGTTGTCCGAACACCAGCTGCAATTCTGGGAGATCTCCAGCCACCACCAGGAAGATGGCAACCGTATTTATATTCCACTTTCCTCACGTTGGGGACTCCAAAATGGCTTACAAAATTCCAAGAACATAAGAGAAGCCAATGCTGGATCAGCCATGTGTTGATCACTCTTTGGGTGAAGAAGGACTTCCTTTTATCTGTTCTAACCCGACTGCTCAGCAATTTCACTGAGTGCCCACGAGTTCCTGTACTGTGAGAATACAACCCATTTCATCCTCGCAACAACCTTATGATGTAGGTTGGAGTGAGACCGGCCCAACCTTCCATGAGGGGTGGTTCAAACTTGGGTCTCTCAGATCCCAGTCCAACATTCTAACCACGATAAAACCCTGACTGTTACCTGTGCGCCCAGTTCATCAGCCTTCCAAAGGAAATACCTGGACATTCTGGAAACAGAACACTGGTTGAGTGATCCCGGTCCAATAGAAACATAAGAAGAGCCCTGCAGGATCAAAACAGTGGTCTGTCTAGTCCAGCATCCTGTCTCACACCTTTCACTGAGTGCCCACGAGTTCTTGTATTGTGAGAATACAACCCATTTTATCCTCGCAACAACCTTATGATGTAGGTTGGAGTGAGACTGGCCCAAGCTTCCATGAGGGGTGGTTCAAATCTGGGTCTCTCAGATCCCAGTCCAACATTCTAACCACGACAAAACCCTGACTATTACCTATGTGCCCAGCTCGTCAGCCTTCCAAAGCAAATACCTGGAAATTCTGGAAACAGAACACTGGACTTGAGTGATCCCGGTCCAATAGAAACATACGAAGAGCCCTGCAGGATCAGAACAGCGGTCTGTCTAATCCAGCATCCTGTCTCACACCATGGCCAATTAGTTCCTCTGGAGGGCCGAAAACAGGGCATAGAGGCTGAGGCCTTCCCCTGATGTTGCCTCCTGGCTCTGGGATTCAGAGGATTGGTGCCTCTGAATGTGGAGGTTCCCCTCAGTCACCAGGTCCAGTAGCCATTGATAGACTTATCCTCCATGAATCTATCTAATCCCCTTTTAGAGCTGTTTATTCCTGTCGCCATCACAACATCCTCTGGCAGCGAATCCCACATTTTAATCACTGTCTGGAGCAATGTTCCCTCTAAGTTGTGGAGTCTTGTGAGCAAAAATTCTACTTTGTGAGCTGCTGGCATTAAAGTTGTGAGCGAGCAATGTGGCTACTGCATAAATTAGTTTGCTCTGGAGCCCTCCTTCCTGAGCGAAGACAAAAATGTGTGAGCCGGAGGCTAAAAAACTGTGAGCTAGCTCACACTAACTCAGCTTAGAGGGAACACTGGTCTGGAGTATGTCCTTTTGTCCGTCCTGAGCCTACTGCCCATCAACTTCATTGGATGCCCTCGAGTTCTAGTATTTCGGGAGAGGGAGAAAAATTCGCTTTGTCAGCTCTCTCCACCCAACACGTCGCTTTACAAACTTCTATCATGTCCCCCCTTCAGTCAATCCAGCAGAACCCTTCTTAAAACTGATATAATCATTTGGCTCTGTTTCCTACAGAGCTCTCTAATGTGATACACTTGGGAATCTTGTGCTCTGCACTTCTAGGAGTTCTGGCACACGGATTCATCGGCTAGAAGCATGCGTGTTATCCAGGCACAACGCCAGGGACTGAACGATGCTAACCCCGGCACTCCTTTCCCACTCCCTTCAGTTTGATATTTTTAAGATCCCCGTATACGGATTTAGCCCAAAGGCACGAAATACTACGAGCGAGAGCGTGCAGTCCATTCTCCTTTTGCAAAACGAAATACGAAAACGGTACTGCGTCCAAAGCAGAGTTTCTGTGTAACTGACAGCCGCCGCTCAGTGCCTGGAACAGTTCGAGCCAGTTCTGCAATACCTGCTCCACAAAGGCCCGACGGCCGGCGCCCCGTGTGCATCCAGTCCCTCTTCATCTGCTGCAGCAGCCTCAGGGCCGTCATGGAGACCTCGTGGTTCTTATCCCCAAACTCCAGCATATGCGCAAAACGAGGAATATATAAGCAGGGATCTGCAACAGAACAAGAGCCAGTTATACACTTTCCTGGCCAGTTTGGTGTAGTGGTTAAGTGGTTAAGTGTGCGGACTCTAATATGGGAGAACCGGGTTTGATTCCCCACTCCTCCACTTGCACCTGCTGATGTGACCTTGGGTCAGTCATAAGCTCTGGCACAGCTGTCCTTGAAAAAGAGCAGTTTGTGTCAGAGTTCTCTCAGCCCCGCCTACCTCACAGGGTGTCTGTTGTGGGGAGGGGAAGGGAAAGGAGTTTGTAAGCCGCTCCGAGACTCCAAGTGAAGGGCGGGGTATAAATCCAATCTCTTCTTCTTCTTCTTCTTCTTCTTCTTCATCTTTCTAAGCATGCCTCTCTATGTCACTTGATAAAAGACAATTTAAACAACTGTGGTTTCTCAGACCTCAGACATTCTTACTTAGGTTGCCAACTCTAAGTTAGAAAATTCCTGGACATATGAAGTGGAGCCTGGGGAGGGGCCTCAGTTGGGTATAATACCATATAGTCCATACTCCAAAGAAGCCATGTTCTTGGTTTTTTTCAATTTTTGTATGTGTGTGTGTGTGTGTGAGGCTCCTTAGTCAGTCCACACCACACACAAGGCTTCTTAAGAAGATAAGTGTTTTATTGGAAGTCAAGTACTAAAGAACGAGTATACAGATTGTGTCAGGAATGACCTGTAATATGATGGCCACTGACTTATACTGTCATCAAACTCCCCCCCCCCCCAGGAGCCCAAGCCAATGAGTACATTTCGCACGCGCGGGCAGCAAGAAGCAGGCAAGCGGCTAAGTGCCTAAGCCTTTAACTTTCCCAGGCAAGTTAATTTGCAGCTGGAGATCGACAACAAGGATCAGGCCAGAGATAGCAGCCAAAAGCTAGACAGGGATCAGCTGGGAACGAGGAGGCGGCAGTGCACCCCTCCACATTCCAGTTCTATGACAGGGCTACCTGACAGTGTGCACCTGGGAGTCATGGTGACCTCTGGTGACTGACCCCTACTGGGGGCCCGGAGGATATTCAGAGAGGTGGCTGAATAAAGCCTGCCCCTGTCCTCCCACCTCTGGTATTCCAAGGAGGTCTCCCATCCAGGTACTTGCCAGAGTCGACCCCGCTTAGCTTCCGAGATCTGACGAGATCGGGCTTGCCTGGACTATCTGGGTCAGGGCCAAAGGAGCCCTGTGTCTGCAGTCTGGAGATCCGTTAAAATTCCAAGCGCTCCCCAGGCCGCACCTGGAGGTTGGCTACCTTATTCTTCCTCTGTTTAATGTATTCTGATAGAAGAGATTCCCCCCCTTGACAACCATCCTACTGTAAGCCGCCCTGAGCCTTCGGGGTAGGGCGGGGTAGAAATTCAAATATAAATAAATAAAATAAATAAGTTACTTTGCCAGCCACATAATGAAAAGTGTACCTTCCCCCACAGCAGAAGAGCATTAGAACATCAGAAGAGCCCTGCTGGATCAGACTGGTGGTCCATTTAGTCCAGCGTCCTGTCTCACACAGTGGCCAACCAGTTCCTCTGGAGGACCAACAACAGGGCAGAGAGGCCGAGGCCTTCATAAGAACATTAAGACGAGCCCTGCTGGATCAGACCAGTGGTCCATCTAGTCCAGCTTCCCATCTCACACAGTGGCCAACCAGTTCCCCTGGAGGGCCAACAACAGGGCACAGAGACTGAGGCCTTCATAAGAACATAAGACGAGCCCTGCTGGATCAGACCAGTGGTCCATCTAGTCCAGCTTCCCATCTCACACAGTGGCCAACCAGTTCCCCTGGAGGGCCAACAACAGGGCACAGAGACTGAGGCCTTCATAAGAACATAAGACGAGCCCTGCTGGATCAGACCGGTGGTCCATCTAGTCCAGCGTCCTGTCTCACACAGTGGCCAGCCAATTCCTCTGGAGGGTGAACAACAGGGCACAGAGGCCGAGGGCTTCCCCTGATGTTGCCTCCTGGCTCTGGGATTCAGAAGTTGACTGCCTCTGAATGTGGAGGTTCCCCTCAGTCACCATAGCTAGT